TAGTACATGAAACTAAAGTTTGAATTCTTTTAAGTTATCTTCATTTATCTTTATGTTTATTTTAGATAATTTTTGCCAGATTATATCTGGTTGAGGTATGTAGATGGAACTTGCATTATTTTAAAAGTACCTTTGTGTACATTTATTGTGATCACAAAATCAGGTTGATTTGACAGAGGGACGATATCTGTTATCCTCTGCTTCGGATGCATCAGTTGCTGTTTATGATGTCCAACGTGCAACTGATTACGATGAAAGTGGTCTGATTGCAAAGCATAAACACATACTTTTGGTTGACAAGCAACATGAGCAGGGCCACAAATATGCCATTTCCACAGCCAACTGGTATCCGATTGACACGGGACTTTTTATTACAGGCTCTTATGATCATTACGTTAATGTCTGGGATACTAACACAACACAGGTAGTGTTGCTTTCTGACCATCTTATTATACTCCACTGAAGTGTAGTTTTTCAGCTTATTTTTCTTTTTATTAAACAAGTTTCTTGCCTAATTTTGGATTTCCTTAATTGTTCTTAAGGTGGTAGTTAATTTCAAAATGCCTGGAAAAGTGTACAAGACTGCCATGTCTCCGGTGGCAACATCACACATGTTAATTGCTGCTGGAACTGAAGATGTTCAAGTTCGTCTTTGTGATATTTCTTCGGGTGCATTTGCGCACACATTATCTGGCCATCGTGGTAAGCTGATATCTATTACTGACATTAATAAAGTATATGCTTTTGCTATGCTGTACCTTTTAGATCTACCAGACATGGTGTTTATCCCCTGGGGTGTTTTTCTCGATATCTTTATGTCGTGAGGTTTTGGAAGTTATCCTTGGGTTCAAACCTTACTGCTGACAAACATGTTGTATTTAAGTGGAGAAGGGTAGAGGGGCAGGTCCAATATATTCTCTCTATCAAACTAACTATTCAACCATTACTTCAATATTTTCTTCTGCTACCATTGTACAATCCTCAAGTCAAATTAACATCTTAAACTTGTGTGTCCCATCAATCACCTTTAGGAAAAAAGAACAGTGTGTCCATTTTCAACCTCTCCAAATCAATGGACCACTCTGTAAAGAGTCATAATTTTTTTATTTCTTGTTCAAGCATTTTGTGAGTACCACCACTAGTTCAGAAGCCCTTAGATGTTTTTCTTTCTTGGGTAATGGCAGATGGAGTAATGTCGGTTGAATGGTCTGCTTCTAGTGAGTGGGTTTTGGTAACAGGGGGATGCGATGGCGCCATTCGCTTTTGGGACATCAGGCGTGCAGGATGTTTTCGTGTTTTGGATCAGTCTCATACTCAGCTTGGAAGACGCCCATCTCTTCTTACACGATCCACTGCAAACAAGGTTACCTTCTGCCATTCATCGTTACGTATTATTTAGAATCATATTCGAAATTTTAATGGCACATATTATTCTTCTATTTCTCGAAAAAATTGAGAGGGATCATTTTTTGCCTTTTGTTTGTGATTGTAAGCTGTTCATGGTCCTTAAATTTAATATTGACCCATTAAAACCTAATTATCTGATTCATTTGGGTGTACCATATCTGTTTCAAGCGAGTTCCTTTTTTAATTGGGCAGTGTTCTAAGAAGTGATGTTTTTCTATCTTCATATTGGTACCCTTTGGAGAAGAAAAGGGAGCAGATTATAAGTAGACTTGGTTTTATTGCAACTTTTTTGCCTTTTCTTTCTGAGAGCACAGAAACCACACAGTTGTCCTCTAGTTTTACAAGTAAGTCTATGTTTTTAGTCCCATCTTGTTTTGCGTCAACGATCCTTCCCTATGTTTAATTTATGTGAGTTGATCCACTGTAAACCTTAATCAGGGTGGAATTGCTGATTCTGTTGATCTTAAGGTTTCTTTCGCGCCTGTAATATATTCTATCTTCCTGCTCAGGGTTCCACATTGAAACCATCTTCCGGAGGCCCAAATTCATCTGCAAAAGGCCGTCCATCTCAGAAAAAAATGGGAAATGGTGTGAGTATCAAACACTCTGCAATTGCTAGACAAGTGAGGGGGTCTGGGAAGCAGCGACTGCATCCAGGGATGCTCTCTAGTCAAGATAGAGCCACTGCGCATTATGGTGCTGTCAATGGATTAAAAATGACCAATGATGGAATGTATCTCCTTAGTGCAGGTTGACATCACAATTCTTTTCAATGAGCTTTTGTATTGCTACTGCTTGGATTGTTTATGCATTGTGATTATTATCCTCCACTCAAGAGGCTGAAGGTCTTACGCCATTGTTTCTGTTAGATGCATGTACGACAATGTATGGTCTGGTGCATGTTGCTTTTATCTTTTTATAGTTGGTCAATGGTGAAGTGCAACTCCGGAATTTATACAGCAGATTATGGTGCTTTCTAATCTCATTTCTCTAGCAATTCTCTAGCAAAGTTGTTTATTTTGGGCACTGTTTTTAAAACACTGATGTAAGATGTCGTTTAAACACTCTGCGATAGGACGTGATATGGGTAGAGTTATTCCCTTGTGATCAAGGCATCTCATCGATAGTTTATTGCTTTTGGCTACATGGTGGGAAAAAACCTGCAACTGAAGCTTAATCATCTGTTCCTGCGGATTTCAGGTTCTGATTCAAGGTTAAGGTTATGGGATATTGAATCTGGTTGCAATACACTAGTGAACTTTGAAACATCACGACTCCAGGCCACAAAAGCTACACAGTTAGCCATATCTCATGATTCAACACTTGTATTTGTGCCATGCATGTCAACTACTAAGGTAAACATTGTTCCACCCCCACCCCCCAATTTTTTTTTAAGAAAAATAACCACCACCACCCTAATATTATTATGCAACACTATTTTTCTTTAGTAACTTAATGTGGAAATCTTGTAGGCATTTGATTTGTGGTCGGGCAAAACGATGATGGATTTACGTGGCCACTATGAAAATGTGAACTGTTGTCTGTACAATTCACTGGACCAGGTACATAATTGTTTTGCCTCCCCCTAGGCACATGTGTTTTTGGTAAAATAGTGAATTCTGCATAATCTGTGACCTCGTGGACCTGAAGTATTTGAGTGATAACATCTTTAGATAAACTAAAATACTTCATTCATTGCATACTGGAAGTTTGTGTGACAAAAAACATTAATCCAGCGGGCAACTCACCCACAGCTATAGCTAATATGTCATCCTAGTGCATATATATACATAGGTATTCTTTCTTTATACCAAAAAGTACATGAAACACAAAAGATCTCATAACAAGGACGCTGTTATTATGCAGCATAGAGTACAAGCAACCTTGTTTCTATTATTGACCTCACTCATATGATTCTCGTCAAAGTAAAAGCTTGACAAAGATGCCATCTTTTCTTGTCCCACTATTGGCCAAACCACCTGGGCACTAGGCCCAATGTGAGCTGGATCACTTAGCCACGCCCCATAATTAGAAAAACGAGCATGGTTTACGTAGTGAAGTATTGAATCTCAAGGCTGCTTCATTTCGCTGTGTGATCTCATTGTAGATGGCACCCCCACCCCCACCCCCCGAACTCTATTGAACTGCTTTTATTTCCATGTTAGCAATGAATTTGAGTCTGGGTATTTTCAGGAACTATTCACGGGTGGTAATGACCGGAAAATTCTTGTGTGGTCTCCAAGTAGAACCACTACCGAGGAATTGGTACGCCTTGTAAACCATTAACATTTTTCATTTACTAGACACCCTTATCTGAGGGTACCTGATCATTGGCCTCTTAAAACCTTCTGTTATCTGGGCTGATATGCAGGAAGGGAGGGAAGGACAATCTTTTGCGATCGACCAAGATAATTGGAGTGATTGAGTAGCTCACGAAATTTCGGAGGTTCCATGTCAAGTTCAACTTTTACTTTTCTTCACTGTAAACTGGAATCTGATGCTGTACAACAATTTCCTATTTCTATTTGAAACTCCCAAATAATGGCACTGTTTGTTATGTTACACTGAATAATTTACGAAATCTGCGCCTTGTACAAGTGGATGTACATCTGTTCCTGCTTATAGTTCAAAACATGGAACTTCTATATATTTTAAATAAATTTTCACATGATATTATGTTGCTTGGATTCTTTAAAAATGACAATTGATGCACATTCGATCCTTCTAAAATAGTGCATTGTGGAGGAATCGATATGTCTAATATTTTTAGAGAGACTGAACAACATAGTTGAGTTTTTGGGAGTACGTGACCAAGTTCAATTAGGAATAAAATCATGGCACTATTTTTCTATAGAATTTATGTGATATACACTTGCTATGTGCATTTAATATGTCATAACAAATTATTCCTCTAATTTTCAAGTGAGTTACTATACTAGGATTACTATGAAGACTTGCGTGAAGTTTGTTGTTAGTTAGTAGTCCCATATTAGGGATGAGATAGCAAATCGTTTTCTTATATGGTCTTGTACAATCTTCAACTTATGGGCTAAATTTTAAAATTGAATTAGGTTCAAAGTTCATTTTATTATCATGATTCAGTGTTAAACACATTCGTCAAATAAAATTTGTGTTTCAATCACAAATTGAAGATATTTAATTAGTTTATTAAAAAGTTGCTACCCCACAGTTTTATCGTTCGATTAGATTACGTTAGTGTTACTAATAAAGTACCTAACTATCACTAAGATAAATTAATGGCTACTTGGCCACTTCTTTTTTCTTGTCTTCTCTTTTTTTTTTAAATTTTTTTTATGTTTTTATATGTTATAATCTTCTTACAAAAAAAATACAACGTATCAAGTAATGGAGGATTAAAAAAGCAAATTATATTCAGCTTCTTGGTCATATACACGTGTCATATTTATCATGTGACATGTGTCCTATACCAAAAAGTAGTTCTTAAAATACTTGAAGATTGAACCAGTAACTTTCTCCTATAGTGCTCGTTGACTGAAATATGTTTTATTTTAATTGAAAACGTGACATGGAAATTTATGGGTTTTTGGCACAAAATCGATAAAATTTTAGTAAAAAGTTACATAAATATACGATTTAAGATATCATAATTTCTTAAAAAAATTATCATTTAAAAAATACAAAGTTCTTCTCTCGGATATATCTCTATATCCTATAGAATGTAATTCTCTCATTAAGATGTATCATTTGCAATGTACGTATTCCGTCTTGAATGCATTCTTCCATTAAGTAATGTATCATTTGCACTGTATCGAACAATCAAGAAATATATACGAGTAGGAAAGTCATATCTCTAAACATTACTGGATTATATATAACATCCTAAACATTACAATCAATCAATCAATCGAGAGTCTTCTATACATTTAGAAACTTTCTATATTAATTCTCGAATGTTTGATAAAACTTTTCATATGATATGTTTAAAATCACAGAATTAAAAGATATATTGATATATTTATCATATCATTAATTTAAGATCACAAGATTCAAAAATCGCTTCTATTATTTTAAACTCTATACCAAATTAAAATAGACAAACGAAACATTGAAAATAAAATAGAAGGGTACAAGCTTTGTTTATTTGATTGGCTGTTTACAGTAGGCAAGGGACTTTTTCATTATATTACTATATAATATACTTTATTAACTATATGATAGATCCATTACCACAAATTGAGGAGTGAAGCACAGGGTTTTGCGCCGGGGGTATGGGGGTAGGCGGTGATTTGGAGATTCTTTAACTTATTGTTTTGTTTTGTTTCTTATTCGGTGTTTAGTATTTATATTAGAGTTTGATTTATATTGAAAAGTTCATACTGAGATAAAACACTTCCAATAAAAGTAATTTCATATATACCCAAAGAACTTGAACATGAAGATTATTAAACCTTATTCTCATGTCATATCTTGAAAATAATTTTTTAAATTATCACATCCTTTTTCGTTCATTTTTACTTTGTCCATTGTTAATTTCATGACCTGTTTAAAACAATTATTTGACACAGAGACTGAGAAATGGACATGAAGTGTCACACGCTTGGACAAGAAACACACAACTTAAAAAAGGAAAAAAGGACAGTCAGTGTCTTGATTAATGTATCGTCCTTTTTATATAAAAAAAAAGTGTTATCATTACCCAAATCCAATAAGAAAAAACATCTAACGTATGGTAGACATCTAATGCATTGATTAACCATACTCCTATATTTTAAGGTTTTATATCATTTTTTCCCCTATTTTTTCATTCGATGTCTGAAATTTACATTAGGGTCCGACTAAGTTCGAATATGCATATTGAAAGGTAAAGCATTCCCCAACAAAGGAAACTTCGTATCCAGAGACACTCGAACTCAAAAATTATATTCCTTGAAGTGAAGAATTGAAAGTGGTTGTTAGTTAGATAACACGTATGTAATGTACATCTTTAGTGTTCTGCTCATGGGAAGAGGGATGCGGGAAAGTGAATCTTCTCACTTATGCTCACTTTTGTTTTAGAAGTCAGATTGAATTTACATATGGTGCAATCAACAGAAGGGTTCCAAACCTCTAAAAGTCGAGGCTGATTTAACGTCACAACTTCCCCTTAGCGCACAACTAAATGATGCACGGATTGGAAATGCGGATTTGTAAGGATCACAACTAGATGTTGTTCAAATAAATAAGGGTATATTTGGATCAACTATTGCAGGTGCACGATAAAGGTATATCTGAGCTAAGCTATTAACGAATGATATATATTTGTTCGATTAGTAAAAATAAAATTTTATTTTTAAAATGATAGACAAGTAAAAGAGTATCGAATAACGAACCTTCCACTCCCGCATTAAAAGTCGCACGTGCTGTTCCTACTTGGATTCTGTACGGTCACCCACGTGTCCATCCCTTTCTCCTAGGCGTTAATCCACGTGTTCTCTTCTCTCCTTTCTCTTATATCTTCTATTTCCACTTTCTTCAAATTCTCCTCAAAAGCCCATTAACACACTCGGCCCAAATCAAACTCCACCTACCAAACGCCGTCGTTTCGACTTTCACCTCTCATTTTCCGATAACACCGGCAAACCTTTGAAAACTCGCCGGAAACATTAACTACCTATTGCCGGCGACGAAAACAGTTGATGAATTGAATTAGATCATCATAGCCGAAGACAATGGAAACAGAAGTTCAATCTAATTTCACTTACATGGGAAGAACATTTACCGGTCTTGGAATTAATGAATCTTCCTCTGCTTTCAGCGACTGCAATAGCGATAGATCCGGCGAGTTTCCGACGACTTCTTCTCAAAGCCGGCGGTTATTAATTGCATGTGCGTCGGATAATTATAACTCCGATGAATTGATTCAACAACTCGTGTCTGATCTCGAGTCGAATTCTATCGATGTGCAAAAGCAAGCGGCAATGGAGATTAGGCTCTTAGCGAAGAATAAACCGGAGAATCGTTTGAAAATTGCTAGAGCTGGAGCGATTAAGCCGTTGATTTCGCTTATCTCTTCCACTGATCTTCAGCTTCAAGAGTACGGTGTCACGGCAGTGCTGAATTTATCTCTCTGCGATGAAAACAAGGAGCTTATCGCAGAATCAGGAGCGATTAAACCGTTAGTTCGAGCTTTGAAAATTGGAAATTCAACTGCGAAGGAGAATTCCGCTTGTGCTCTGCTTCGATTATCACAAATCGAAGAGAATAAAATCGCGATCGGAAGGTCCGGTGCGATACCTCCATTAGTGAACCTTCTAGAAGCCGGCAATTTCCGCGGGAAGAAGGATGCATCAACTGCTCTGTTTTGCCTATGTACGGTGAAAGAGAACAAAATTAGAGCCGTACAAGCCGGAGTTATGAAACCGTTAGTTGAATTAATGGCGGATTTCAGTTCAAACATGGTGGATAAATCGGCATTTGTTATGAGCGTTTTGATATCAATGGTGGAAGCGAGGGCCGCGGTGGTGGAGGAAGGCGGAATTCCGGTGCTGGTGGAGATCGTGGAGGTCGGGTCACAGCGGCAGAAGGAGATCGCGGCGGCGATATTGTTGCAGCTCTGTGAAGATAGCGTTTGTTACCGTACTATGGTGGCTCGAGAAGGCGCAATTCCCCCATTGGTTGCTTTGTCACAGTCTGGTACAAATCGCGCCAAACAAAAGGTAAAAATCAAAATATCTATAACTAAATTATACCCTATTTTAATTTAATTTAATTTACGTGACATAATTTAACTCGATATAAAAATTAAAAGAAATAAGAATTTTTTAAATTTAAATAGAATATTGTCATGTTACCAATCGTTGTCCTCAAATGTGAAGCAGGTAATTAAGTAAAGAGGTTCCATTAATTAATGAGTTAAGCTAATTAATTAAGTAGGGTTTGCACTAAGCTTATATATAATTGGTAAAAGATAGACCGTAGAAAGTATTATAGTGATGTGATTTGGATATGGACAAATATAATTATGTTTGGTGGGCGCACTAGTCTATCTCCACTGTATTTGCCCCTATGGCTATAACTCGGAATCAAAATTTGAGATTTATGAATTTTAATCGAATTCATAATTAAATATTTATATATTTGATCGATTCTCAAGTCATTTGAATCCGTACCTAATATTATAGCTAGCTTCGTCCTTGGATGAGTTGAAGTTAGTTCAATTAGATGTTTTTGTCCTTATTAGTAAGGAAATATAGGTCCCTTTTCATGTGGGATTATTCAATTTGTACTTTATTATATTGAAATAGCATAAATTATTTAGAATAATATAAAATATATAATTGTGTTCTTTCATTTGGCTTCAGCTAATATTTATGTTTTTCAGTTATATGTGTATTATTAATACTTAAATTTGAACAAAGTTGAACAGATAGATATATATGTTCTACTTGGCATTCTACATGGTAATTTCTATCCTACACCATATTGTATATGACATTTTATGTGTATTATGTCACGTAAAATACGTGTGTATCTGAGCGTTTTGGTTGACAGGCGGAGACACTGATTGGTCTGTTACGGCAACCAAGATCCGGTAACGCCGCTGCCACAACACCAGCCAGAGGTTCTGATGTGTCGTTTTGATTGTCTGTCAACCACATGTTTTGTCTCCCTCTTTTGTTTTTTTTTCTTTCTTTCTTTTGTATTATAGCTACTCAAGATAACCACAAAACATTGTCAAATACAAGGTAAAAAAAAATTGTAAATATCTTTTAAACTTTGTAAATTTTGGTTGTTTTATTGGATGTGTCTTTTTTTTTTTAATATACTATCCATAAATTTCATTTAGATGTTTGAATTACCGTTTGTTTTGATTAAGCACGACATGACAAAATAAAGTGTTTTTATGAAATATTTAAAATATCTTATCTTCTTTAATAATATATGTATTAATCTTAATAAATCAAACCTATTTCAATTTTATGTAATTAATTATTTATGTAATGATTGAGTGATGACACACTCTTAATTTTTAAAAATATAAAAGTCTGAAGTATAGTATTATTCTTACGTATAACTTATTGAAGATATGTTATAATTTAAGTATCTAAATAAAATTTAACGGAGTTTGAGCCTCTTTTCCCTTTCTTGAGGTGATATCTACTTTTGGATGGATTCAAAGGTTGCATATGTACCTAGGTTTTTTCTTTTTTTTCTTTTAATAAAACTATCATATACTTTTATGAAACAAAGACAGAAGTAACCCTTTGTCACATGACGATTACTTAACCATGGAAATTTAAAATCTTTTTTTAAAAAAATAAATGGACTCCTGAAATAAAAAATCTTAAACGTAGAAATGAATATTCATATGGTTAGTTTTCAATTTATTTGAAATTGAGGTATAATTTTTACGAAGTATTATAATAACGCAAAGTATATGGTGAAGAAAAGACAAAAGATTCCATATTCAGTACGAATGAAATTAAAATTTTATACCTAACTAGAAAAGACTAATGAACAACTAAAAAATTGAATTATAGAGAAATCTTATCTTTATTTTATTTATAAAAGTACTTTTTTTATTTTATAAAAGTAGCTTTTTTTTATTATATTTATATATAGAAACAAACGGGTCCTATCGGAGTAAACATTCAAAGTGATTTGACAAGTTCATAAATATTTTTTTATTTATAACGCATTTCACATGCATCAATAATGTTTATAAGTTAAATTAAAATTATACAAAAAGCATATTCACTCCCTATATATATTCTTTTAATATCCTTTCTGATTTTGTTGACTTAATTAAATAGAAAATATTTTCTGAGAGGTTAAATGTTGGAATATTTCTTAGCTCATTTGATAATTAAAAGAAATGTGTTCTCAAATTGTATTCATCATAAATTTGTCTTTTTCTATCTAAATATTTCCGTTTACCCCGTCACCTTGCCGCCCTTTTATCGATTCTCCCCAAAATTCTAACAAATGGAGGAATGTATAAATTGGGTTAACTTTTCACACGTTACATGTTTAAGATTATAAAATTTAAAAAATATTTTTAATATATCTAACATATTCTTAGTTTATAATTATAAGGTTCAATTTCTTTTAAAGTCCGAATAAAATTGAAACCTGACAAATAATATTGAAACATGCGGAATATATATATATATGTACATGGTTAAAATAATTTTTTAAATAAATATAGTAGATGTCGAATCCCCTTCGACTACTTCGCGTGTCTATTTCTTCATATATTAAATCCTCTTATTTAAAATTCTAGCTCTGCCACGATATATAATAAGACAAATAACTCTCCCTATCAAGTTACATATAGATAGTAATCATGAAAAAGACATGGATCAAATGCAAAGTTTTGTTACTACAACTTGCACAACCACTAATGACTCTCTCTCTCTCTCTCTCTCTCTACACATGTTTCACATGTTAATTTGGACAAATAATGGTTAATTCTTAGAGAAATTTTCTGATTGAAGAGATTAATGAAAATGACATTATTTGTCTAACTAGTTATAAATAAACTAAACTCAATACTAAATAATTAAGAAATAATTTCAGCATAACTAATCTCAACATTGTAACTAATAGATTCCAATATTTGTTAATATATTCTTATACACACTCTGTCAATCAACTCCTGAGTAGTAACGTGGGTTAAGCGCAATACTATTAAGTTAAATCGACTACACCTACTAACAAACAACCAACATATATGATGTAATGGATAAGACTGTTGATTCTTTCTAAATCAAAGATCTTAGGTTCGAGTCATGAGTATGAAAAAATCTTTGATAGAGAGCGCTTCTCGCTGAATGGTGCCCTACGTGACTCGAATCTAAATTAGTCGAGCTTCATGAATACTAAACATCAAATGAAACCAAAAGTTTAAAAAAAAAACACGTACTAACTATAAATACAAAGCGTGTGTTAATTAATGTAACAACTGTACATTTGTGTTAACTTCTTTACACACGTTCGTTTTTTTCTTTTTTTCTTTCGGAACAATATACGTATCTATTTGGAGTTAATATAAAGAGTCAACGCCCACCAGAACAGAAAGAATAAACAGCATACGTGAGATCACAAACTTAGATGTTCTCTCATCAAAACGTCAGGTTCGACTGAATTCAATATATTTTTATTCAAACAATACATTTGTGTTAAAAAAAACGTATTAAATATGCATAAATATTAAACGTAGAACACAAATGCTACCTCACTCGAAGTTACTATTAAAAAAAAATTAAAATTTATAAAATTGAAATTCTAACTCCGCTCGTATCGTAAGCCAACCAGAGTATTCACAGCGGTTGTTGGCCTGTTTTGAATTACAAGGCCTCAGCCTCTGGTTGGGGCCTAATTTATGGTCTATGTGACACCACTTTTTAAAAAGCTCATAGCCATCAAATATGACTCTTTTTTTCTTTCTTTCTTTGTTGCATTATAGTGCTTTTTTGTTGTTGGCTTTCCTATTTTGTCCTAGGTTCTCATCTCATTCAACATAAAAAATCTTTTGCAATTTTATCTAGAAGTTTATTTACATTTTTTCATGAAAAAGATTGTTGACTTGACTTTTATAGTTTCGAATTCGCGTCTTGGATGAGCTTGCCACGGTGGATCCCCCGCCCCCATTGGAGACGACTATTATAGTAACTTAAATCACGTATATACATGCAGATCCGTCTCTGTGAACAAAGCTACAGATAGTGAGATTGGAGTTTGGGACCTTAAGTAAAATTTTGTATCTTCTTAAAATATTAAACTAACCTCTAATCTTGTGTTTAAGGGATTCAAAATATACAATTTTAAAATAAATTGTATATACCAAAC